CTTGTATTGTCTCCAACAAACACAAATACCAATTTGCTCTTTTCTCTTATTGTTTAACATTTTCGCTCTTTTCTTTTTTTCCCTAAATGCCACAATTTAGTACTTTCCAATCCAAATTAAAGAAAATCACAGAAAAACTACTTGCCATTTACATTTCACATCATTTTCTACCCAAAAAGCATACAAGTTTTTTATTTTTTTCCTTATTGTTACTTGTTATACACTTTCTAGTCATCTTTTTCGGTAAATAATGACAATATAATACTTTTTAATCAAACTTGAAGGAGAGAAAATAGAGCTGCTATTCATGTCACATCTATATCATTTCCCACCCAACAAGCATATGAATTTTCTCCCCAAAACTTAATACATTACAATCAAAGTACTAACAAAATAGTCCAATTTATGCTGGGCAGAAAAGTCTTCAATAAATGCTGCCAAACCCGAACAAATAACAATACTTGGACTAATATAACAATCATACCCAATAAATTACATCCCTTTGCTCGAAGATCCTCAAATTTCTCCTATTAAATCAAGCAAGCAAACAAAAAATAAATAAAAATTAGCCAATCATCAAAACAATAACTCCAATCCAGCAGATAACATTGTGACAAAATTTAAGTGGAGATACGAATTACATGATCGGCAGAGGAAATGACGTGGAAATCATTAGGAGCATTGCGTGATGGATCGCAACAAAGCAAAACCTGGGCTCCGTTGAGCTTGAGAGCATCGTGAAGTGAATCGAACAACTCTGGAGGAACCAAGTTCCTTGACATGAAAACATTCTCACCTTTAAACACCTTCGTCGTCATATCTATTTCGATTATAACATATTCATGTAAATTCCTACACAAGCCGATGAACTTCTTGAGGGATTTGTTGATTTTAGGGTTTTGATTTTGAATTGGGGAAATGATAAAAGGAGGGAAATGTGAAATTCCGAATTATGAAGCTACTTAGCAAACCGGGAGTTGTCAAAAGGGATATGGTTGGCAACCGGTCGAAACCGGCTTAATTATAAATCGGAGGGAAAAAAACCGGGAACGAAAGATCAAGAAAATAACGAAAAAATGAAAACGGTAAAATTTTGAAAGCCTCGCCTAATGTTTCTCTTAATATCACTTTATACCCTTAAAATGTTTAAAACCTCACAACCTCTTTGTAAGCACAAATTTTGTTGCCTAAAATAAAAGACAAGAAAACTTGCACAAATATCAAATTGATTAAATCAAATAATAAGCGGGTTACAATCTCTGAAAGTTCTTGAATCAAAAAAATTAATTCCCTGATTCTTTTCTTCAAATAGCTTCAATTGAAGGGTCGAAAGGACTTGTTCTCCAATCGAAAGGGTGTTTCCTACAATTTTGGCGTAGAAAACAATTGATTTGATGATGGCGTCAAACACTTGGAACTTCAAGTCTTCAACACCGATAGCAGGAGGATTTGTTTGATTTGAATTGGACTTGGATTTGAGGAAGAAACCTCTTGAGAAAATTTGACAGAGTTTCTCCGAAAGTTAGGAATTTTCTTGTGTCTTTGCCTTGAGGGAAGACCTTTATTTATAGCCAAAGTATGTAGGCTAAATCTTCAAGAAAACCCTCCAGAAATCTTCCTGCATTTTGGATCACTTGTTACCCAAGAAATCCATTTAACTTGGGTTTAAATAATGGGCCAACCCAAATAGTCCATTGTGAATTAATAAATCAATTAATTCACTCCAACTTAAGCGGACATTATGGATTTGATTTGATTTAATAGCCCATATAATATTGGCCCAAATTTTGTCGGGCCTCCAATCTCTTTTCATCCAAAGCTTCCAATTCTTCAAGGCGCAGGCGAACATTTTCTTCCTCCGTGAGCCCTTCTTGGATAGCAATTCTCAAAGAAGGAATTTGTTGCTCAAGGGGCAGAACAACTTCTACACCATAGACTAAGGCATATGGTGTGGCTTTATTTTGGGGAGAAAATTCATATGCTTGTTGGGTGGGAAATGATATAGATGTGACATGAATAGCAACTCTATTTTCTCTCCTTCAAGTTTGATTAAAAAGTATTATATTGTCATTATTTCCCACCCAACAAGCATATGAACAGCTTCATTATGTTGAAGGGACTTTATTGGAGGTGGCCATCCTAATTGGCCCTTTTTTGCGGCCCAACAAAAGAGTTTTAGATCTTCATATGCTGCTCACACTCTTGTTGATACATTTGTTCATCTTAACAATATTCATTGCAATCAGTAAAATCTCTTCTATGATCAAAACTCGAATCATACTCAGTCCTATTATGCATTTCATCGTGAATGGCTTTTTCAACAATACCATTTCCTACCTCATTTGCCCTGTTTACTTCTACAACTGGTTTCACAATTGTAGTACTATTTCTGGACTCTCGAATTGGATAATCATGCTTCCACTCCTGAGCAACAATAGCTTTTTTCCTAGCACGAGGTCTCCCTGGTTTTTTTTGGAGCTACATCAATAACATCTTCAATCTCCTCTATGACAACCGTAGATTTCCTCAACAGTTCCTCCATCTACACTTTCTTTTGCCTATCAAGCTCATATATTTCTTCTAATGTCAAGTGATCGTAGTAAACCTCCATCAACTTGTACTCATACACTCAATCACAGAATTCTTGCATATCTTCATTCGTTTGAAGTTCATTCAATCCATGGTTCAAGTCACTTTTAGGGTCAATATAATAATACAACATGGTCCCTCAGTGCCCACATTTCTCAACCATTTTGTTTATCATTTGTAGCGACATAAAATTTGTATGGCACATGTCAAAGTAGTCTATCTCTCCCCCATCATATCTCTTGTACTTGTCTCCCTTAATTTTACCCCCATGGTGAAGTTTAATTGAAAATAAACCACTTCCATTTTCTACACCAACACAAAACATAATAAAGAAACAATCTCAATCAGCATTTTCTATTATTCATACAATTTAAAAGGAACACAAAATCAGCAGCGATTTGATATACGGAACAAAATTTACTATAAATTACAATAAATTATCAAAAAAAATTTGTTCTTGTAGGACCCTTTGTAACCTATTGCGATGACAACAAAAGGAATCCCACAAAGAAATATCATTTTCTACCTCACTAGTGCTCTCATGTTACTTTCTTCCCAACCAGTGCAAAACATAAAACCCTTAGATCCACTAAACACAATACCCACACAGTTCAACAAAACCATTCATGCATTATTAACCAAATTAAGAGGAACACATGGTTTTTAGCGATTTCTTACCATATAGTTCATGCGGATCCAGGTATTCATCTCTCCTTCGCTTTACCCACTTCATCGTGATTAATCAACTAACAGCTTATGTGACTGATGAATCTTGTCTACTAGATTTTCTTCTTCAATTTTTGAATTATGTACTCTGATCTTGTTGATTTTCAAGTTTTGGAGGAACCCTAAATTTTGTCCCTTTCAACTGAAAGTTTAGTGACAAAATTCTACGTCTGAATTGAACGGCCAACTATTGTGGCTTCTTTAGCTTGCTTAAAGTTTTTAGATAATTTTGCCCTTCAAACCCTCCACTTGCAGATCACGTGATGTCCATTCCATTTGCCTTCATGGTGAAATTACATGAAATGCTACAAAACATGCACTTTGGTTAGTTCAGTAATATTTTTAGCTAACAAATTACTTTAGTGACCTGAAATATTTACAAAGTGGAGAATCAATGTCTTCCTCAAGCTCTCGAACAACCAGCGGCAGAAACGGAACTAGAGGTCTGCGATACTAGTACAAGATATGTAATTGTGGAAGGAAGGCGAAACTCAAGATTGTTGAGTCAGAAAAGCCATCGAAAGGAATGTTGTATTTTGTGTGTGAAAAAGATGAATGTCGGTTCTTTTCATGGTGTAATCCAATCTACAGAGATGAGGCAGATCGAGATGCACCTATCCCCATAGTGAGCCAGCATGTTCAAGAAAATTCGTATTTGAGTGGCGTGCTCTCAAAACTGAAAATTTTGGACAATGAAATGAAGAACTTGAAATTGCTAGTTGGAGGTTGTGTTATGGTATCTATTTTTTCTATTTTATTGTTGTTGATGTCTACCAAATAAGATAATGGTAGGCTATTGTTGATGATGTAGTTCATCTATCGAATTGCTAATTGGTAAGTTGTTGTTGATGTATGACGTTTTGTTGCAGTGAAAAGGAACGAAATTGGTAATCTGTATTTTGGAGTTTTGTTCTGACAATCTGCACTTTGAAAACCCCCAAAAAGGAACGAAATAAGCAATTTGGAGTTTTGTTTGGTAATCTGCATTTGAGCAAGTGTTTTGAAAATGAAGAGAATTGCAGCAAGTACTAGTTGGAGTTTTGTGTTATGGTATCTTTCCCTGTGGTGTTTTGTTTGATGTCTATCAACTGAATAATGGTCAGTGTTGGATGGCAAGTTATATAGATGACAAAAAAAAGAGCACAAAAATGAATGTAGTTGCCATTTCACATAACAGACACCAAAATCTATTCACAGAATCTATTCCCAGAAGAGATATACAACAAATGTTTCCAGATTCATTCATCAACTACAACTTATATAGATGATAGAAAAAGAAGACAAAAATGAATGTAGTTGCCATTTCACATAACAGACACCAAAATCTGTTCCCAGAAGAGATATACAACAAATGTTTTCAGATTCATTCAGCAACTACAACATCACATCAGCCATATCATATAACATTAATCTGGTTGCCAAGAACTTCAACCCAAAAATTGTTCCCAAAACATAGATTCACCAAATGTTTCCAGATTCATTCAGTAACTATAAAATCACATCAGCCATATCATATAACATTAATCTGGTGGTTGCCAAGAACTTCAACCCAAAATCTGTTCCCAGAACATAGATTCACCAAATGTTCAGTTTCATTCAACAACTAAAAAATCAGCAACTACAAATATTTCAAAAGCTATTCTAACTACGGCTAGGCCACTATTCTGGCAGGTAATTAAGCGTTCTTAGGCTTTTGATCTCTTTGGCCTTAACTTCTGCAGGACATCAGTAACTGTTGGAGCTCTGGCTCTTTTTATTGTTGCAGTGGTGCCATCAGCCCTTTTACCTCCATTCATATTTGTACTATCCACAGGCTATAATTAAAATAAAAGAGAACTTAGATGTATACCAGTACAATTATGTTTTTATGTAACTCATGAAATGTAAAAGCTTGGTTGAGTGTACACCTTCATATCCTTTTTGCTGGTCTTTGTAGTACTTCGAGTACCAGCAGCTCCTTCACTAATTGGTTGTGGTTGAGTGGACGACTCAGCAATTGGTTGTGATTGAATGGATTCAGCTGCGCTTGCTTCAGGTGCTTATAAATGCCATTTAACATTGCTAAAACATACAAATGCTATAACAATGACATTTAAGCGTATAAGGAAAATTACCTTATAAAATTTGGAGTTAGGGTGAATGGGATTCTTGCACTTCCGTGAGTTATGCCGTGGCTGAAAACATCTCTTGCAATGTACCACAAGACCCTTTCTAGTTGATACTTGACCCTTCTTAGGCTCATCTTGCACTCTTCGACGCAGTTTCTTTGGTCTACCAGGCATTCTCCTAACCACATGGGGGTTTATGGCCTCTTCTTGATAAGTTATCCAGTAAATATCACTTGGAACAGGTGTAATAGTATGTGCATATGTTTTCAGATATTCAGCTCTAGTGTAGCAAGTATGCACATAATTTTTTATAGGTAATTTACACACTCCTATCGCAACACATGCATGGGCACAAGGATAACTTGTTAATTGAAAATACCCACAGGTACATGTCCAGTTTTTCAAGTCTACTACTACACATTTTCTCACACCACAGTCAACCTCATACTTGTGACCCCCGTCCCAGGTCGCAATAAATGTCCTACTCAACCTCTGATTCTTGTCAATTTTTTCTACTATATTAGGACAGATTTCTCCTTGAAACTTTTGCATTCCAGATCTCTTTATTTAAATTCTCTACATCAATCTCCTCCTTATCCATTCAAACATCCCAATGATAGGTAACTCTCTTGCTTCTAATATGTAATTGTTGAATGACTCATTTAGATTGTTTACCAGAATGTCACATTTACTACTTCTTGTAAAATGTGATCTACTCCAAAGAGTTGGTGGAATTCTGCTCAATCAGTCAGCAGCTTCTTTGTTTGCCTTTTCTAGTTCAATCATTGCCACTTTTCATTCCTTTTCATTGCCAGCACTTGCAGCAGCCCAAAACATGTCTTTCATTTCCTTTCCTTTGAACTTTTGGTTAAAATTCTAGTACATATGCCTCAAACAAAATCTATATTCTGAATCTGGAAACACTTCATTGACGGCATGCACAAGCCCTTTCTGTCTATCTGACATAAAGATCCAAGGAATGTTATCTCTTCCCATGCCCAAATCAGCCATTAGCAACTCCAAAAATCATTTCCAGGAGTCATACCGCTCTACCTCTAGCACTGCAATTGCTATTGACACCATATTATCGTTGTCATCTCTGCTAAGTGCTGATAATAATTGTCCACCAAATGCTGTCTTAAGAAAACAACCATCTAGACCAATTATTGGTCTACAACCATCAAGGAAACCCTGCTTACAGGCATGCAAGCAATAATATAACCTTTGAAATATACCTGTTGAACCATCAGGTAGTTTGTCAATCTGAATTTTTATAGTACTTCCAGCATTTATGTCTCGGACGGTGGTGGCATAACTCCAAAGTTTTTGATACTGCTCCATGTCCATGCCAAGCATCATATCCTTTGCCTTATGCTTAGCTCCACCAACCTTAGCAATTGACACATTGATTATTAAATCTCTTCTGATGTCATTCTTCAACCCCATCAAATCAACTTTTGGATTATCCCTGATCTTATCTTGATATTTGCTGCTCAGGTATGTAGCTGTTGCATGCTTATTTTGATATTCTCGAGCACACACATGCTCACCCTTTGGTAACTTTATTTGGAAGGTTGATTCATCTTGAATTGATGTTGCCCGAATCCTCCAACTACAACATTTTGCACAGTTGACAATAATTTTCTTGGAGTAGTTTTTCACCCAAGTAACTTCATAACCCTCTCTTACTAGCCATTCACACAACACAGATCTAAACACTCTAAATTTAGTAAACTTCTGTTTCACTTTTAGCTCAAAGTGTGGCTTCCTAAATTCAACTTCAGGATTAAAGTCAAGGCAGTCATCTCCTTCTCCACTACCAGATCTAAATTTGTCCAGCAACTCTTCATCCGGAACCACGGGTTCTTGCCAATCCTCTTCAGTCATCTCAGCATTCCCTACCATTTCGTCTTCTTCTCTCAAATTTGATTCTCTAAATGTTGCAGGTGGTTTTCAATGTTTATAGCTTCATCTTCTGATGGCCCTTCTTGAGATGAAACAGGTCCCTTTTCAATGCTTACATCTTCAACTTCTGATGGCCTTGAGATGAAACAAGTGGTATAATTTGCTGAATCACATCTGGCCCTCTATATTGTGAAGTTTTACTGGCTCTTTTCTTTCTCACAGAACCCCTTTTAGGAGAACTTTTTTCATCTGACTTTCCAGCAAATGAGAATACATGCACTGGCAATTTTGAAGAAGCACTGGTGCCATCACCTTTTTTTATGTCTCCATCTGCCCCTGCCCCACCTTTTTTGTTGTAATTGCTGTCTCCAACGGCATCTTTTTTCGGGCTAAAGATGTCTTCATCTTCTATTGTTTCCAACCCATCTTTTAACCATCCTGGCTCTTCATCATCTTCACATGCACCTGTCCCCGTAGTGTTAGTGACCCCACCATATTCACATGCACTCGTATCATGGCCTTCATTTTTTATTTCATCACTGACCCCACCATTTTCTGGCTCCTTTTCAAATGGTTCATCCCCATTGTAAGCATAAATTAGCCTTTCCTTAGACAAGTTCCAGTAGCACTAGTTCATTAATTCAATATCATTATTGTCTCTAATTGTGTGTAGACCACCTTCTAAATCCACATCTGGGACACAAAACTAAAAAGTTACTCTAATTGCTCCTTCATCTACCTTTTTAAACATTCTACACAGACTCACTATCGATAACTAATTTTCGATTCTGTCTTTGAAAATAGCCATGTGGGTTCTTGTGTAGTGGAGCCTTGGCTTTTCTCTAAATCTCCCACCAAAATACATGTGTATGTCAACTTTGTCCTTTGATTTCTCCTCTGCTGCAGCATGATAAGCAATAAAGGACATCAAATATTAGTAATTTGTCTTTGACAACTACACAAAAAACTAACATAACACAATCAGAACAAACAATTCATTGTAGGTGGGATTGGGGACCATATTGGACCACAACATGTCTCCATATAAGCCATATTAAGATAATTACAGATTACAGAAGCTGCCATGCTTGACTAGTCATGGCATTTAACAGTAGTAATTGATCAATAGAAGTAATGCTACACATTGATAGTATAAATTTAAGCCAAAAAGATAGATTGTCAAACTCAACAATTGAGTCTGACCAAAAAGAAGGGGTGACCAGATTAGGACATGAAACGCGTAGCCTTGTCTTTGCCAAACAATTGAGGAATTGGAACCAAAGCTAGTAAACGAGGAACCTCTTCTATAAAGTTATCCCTTTTTAAACTTTCAGTAATTATCAAAACTTTAGCAATTTGAAAGGGACGCTTAAGCTGTCTATCTATGCAGCTAGGTTTGCTGGGCATACATGAACAACCTTCATCTTCATTACGTAAATACATAAAAAAAATATTATCTTTGTTAAATAATGGCCTCCCAATTTAATCTGAAATCAGTAAATAACATTTTCCCTTCCACATCATACCCTAAAACCCGAATGGAAATAGATGAGAGATGATATACTAACCCATTTTTCTTCGATTTTTTACTGCAAATCTTCATTTCCTCCTATTTTTCGTCGATCTTGATATTTGATTGAAATAAAAATCGAAATTTTTGCTGAAAATTGGCTACAAAAGGGGCTGCAATTGGCTACAAAAGGGGCTGCTTTTTCTTCGATTTTTCACCGTAGATCTTCACTTCCTCGTATTTTCCGTCGATCTTGATATTTGATTGAAATAACAATCGAAATTTTTGCTGAAATTTGGCTACAAAAGGGACTGCTCCATCTTCTCTCTAGGGTTTTTTTATTTATTTCTCTCTCTCTTCGTTGGTTTTGATAGAATGAAGAGCAAATTTACTTCTACAATTGTCGCTTATATCAAAAGGGTATTTTTATCTTTTCACTCAACTCCGTCTATTTTAACGATTTCCATCGAATTTTTACAATAATTCAAACCATGGGGTATCGACGCGTATGATATGAAACCAGAGGGGACTTTTTTGTATTATAGCCATACCACAGGGAGTTTTTTTGTTGTTTACCCTTAGTTTTAAATATTTACTTATAACGTTCAATAAGCCTAATTATCAATTTTTTTGCCATCCGTACTCTATGTCGTCAAATTACATACTATTTAATAATTGAATAATAAAAATATAAAAATTTGAACTAAGTATTATAAAAGTTAACATAAAACTTAATCCAAAAATTTTGAACCCCTAACATTTTTTTCATGTGTAAATTTAAAATTTCATTTTGGAAAAATAGGAAAAGAGACACAAATTATCATAAATTGGTAAAAACTAAGAGAAAATAAAATGATAAGCTAAAATCAACAAATAATAATAATAATAAAATAAAATTATTAATATCATGACAAAACGAAAAAATTGAAAAAAAAAATATGTGGGGAAAGAGAAGAGATTTGGGAGAAAACAATTCTAAATGAGTTAATTGGGTTTGATAGGTTATCCAATAATACCTACTTAATAAATGGATATTATTGGGTAACCCATTTATACCTATATGCAAAAATTTAAGATACTCATACCTATCTATTAATGGGCAGGTATGGATAAATTTAGTTAAATGGGTTAGTTTGCCACCTATAGCTACAATTATTGTGTACATCAAGCATCCTCTTGAGTACAAAATCAGTTGTACCCAATATTAAAACTTCGAAGCATACATGTACCACTTACACATTAGAATGCCTACACTTAACTCTCAGTCTTTTCTTGTCACTTATATACATGTAGATTGGCCTGCCATTCATGATTGCATAGTTTTTTACGGCAATTCTAAACTCTTTTTTGGTGCCAAATTTTTGGCCAACATGAAATTATGGAGTCCAACTATCTCTGGCAATATTGAAACTAGTATATCTTATTGGAGCATCCTCATCTTCACTTGTATCAGGATCACTATGGAGCTCCACATCCAAGGTGTCATCTACTAGTGGATTATGCTCCGATTCACCTGCTCCACCTGCATTTTCTGCACCAATGGCTTGGGACTGTTGCACTTCATCACTCCCTTTTCTTGTGGAATTTCTGGTTTGTTGCCTCTTCCACCCTTGCCTCTTGTCTATGGTTGGTGGCTTATATCCGAAGGTAGAATCTTTATGATGACTTTTTGCAGTTGGTTCATTATGTTGAAGGGACTCTATTGGAGGTGGCCATCCTAATTGGCCCTTTTTTGCGGCCCAACAAAAGAGTCTTAGATCTTCATATGCTACTCACACTCTTGTTGATACATTTGTTCATCTTAGCAATATTCATTGCAATCAGTAAAATCTATTCTATGATCAAAACTCGAATCATACTCAGTCCTATTATGCATTTCATCGTGAATGGCTTTTTCAACAATACCATTTCCTACCTCATTTGCCCTATTTACTTCTACAACTGGTTTCACAATTGTAGTACTATTTCTGGACTCTCGAATTGGATAATCATGCTTCCACTCCTGAGCAACAATAGCTTTTTTCCTAGCACGAGGTCTCCCTGGTTTTTTTTGGAGCTACATCAATAACATCTTCAATCTCCTCTATGACAACCGTAGATTTCCTCAACAGTTCCTCCATCTACACTTTCTTTTGCCTATCAAGCTCATATATTTCTTCTAATGTCAAGTGATCGTAGTAAACCTCCATCAACTTGTACTCATACACTCAATCACAGAATTCTTGCATATCTTCATTCGTTTGAAGTTCATTCAATCCATGGTTCAAGTCACTTTTAGGGTCAATATAATAATACAACATGGTCCCTCAGTGCCCACATTTCTCAACCATTTTGTTTATCATTTGTAGCGACATAAAATTTGTATGGCACATGTCAAAGTAGTCTATCTCTCCCCCATCATATCTCTTGTACTTGTCTCCCTTAATTTTACCCCCATGGTGAAGTTTAATTGAAAATAAACCACTTCCATTTTCTACACCAACACAAAACATAATAAAGAAACAATCTCAATCAGCATTTTCTATTATTCATACAATTTAAAAGGAACACAAAATCAGCAGCGATTTGATATACGGAACAAAATTTACTATAAATTACAATAAATTATCAAAAAAATTTTGTTCTTGTAGGACCCTTTGTAACCTATTGCGATGACAACAAAAGGAATCCCACAAAGAAATGTCCTTTTCTACCTCACTAGTGCTCTCATGTTACTTTCTTCCCAACCAGTGCAAAACATAAAACCCTTAGATCCACTAAACACAATACCCACACAGTTCAACAAAACCATTCATGCATTATTAACCAAATTAAGAGGAACACATGGTTTTTAGCGATTTCTTACCATATAGTTCATGCGGATCCAGGTATTCATCTCTCCTTCGCTTTACCCACTTCATCGTGATTAATCAACTAACAGCTTATGTGACTGATGAATCTTGTCTACTAGATTTTCTTCTTCAATTTTTGAATTATGTACTCTGATCTTGTTGATTTTCAAGTTTTGGAGGAACCCTAAATTTTGTCCCTTTCAACTGAAAGTTTAGTGACAAAATTCCACGTCTGAATTGAACGGCCAACCATTGTGGCTTCTTTAGCTTGCTTAAAGTTTTTAGATAATTTTGCCCTTCAAACCCTCCACTTGCAGATCACGTGATGTCCATTCCATTTGCCTTCATGGTGAAATTACATGAAATGCTACAAAACATGCACTTTGGTTAGTTCAGTAATATTTTTAGCTAACAAATTACTTTAGTGACCTGAACAAGTACTAATGTATAGTTTAGTGACATTTTTGGCGGTTTACGCTACATAAAATAGTTATATTCACTTGCACTATTTTGTAATTCTTTGAATTAAAAATATTTTTTGAAAAGCTTTACACTCATCGACCGTGTCTAGATAACTAATATGTATATTGTCTCAACCATGGGGTTTGTGTTAAAAAATTCTATTATCTTCTTTATCCCAATTTTATCCTTATATGATG